CCAGCCCTGCACCTTGTTGTCATAGAAAATACAAAATTGCTACAAAGATATAGAATGTACATGAATTGAAACTAGTACATAAAATTGACACGTTTTACCATGAATATACTAAAGGCATTGAAACTCAGTATGTGTGTAATACTTTATGTAATTTGTTTTCATGAAATAAGTATTGAAATATTTTAATGAAGAAACTTCACTGTTTTAAGAGTAATCTCATACTTTATGCCAATTCCTTTGATCTATCTACTTGTCAAAACAAACAACTTCCATAGATTTATAATGTGTATTTTCTTTGGAACACAGGTGGAAGCAAACAAGCACAGTCTTCATTGACTGAATGGCCTATTTTTGTGCTGAAATATCGTGCTTTCAGATGTTGTCAGTGCTCGTGGGGAGAAGGTCGGGAAAGCAACTCTCGAATAATTGTATAAGGGGAAAAAAACACGAAGAAAGAAAATTGCATTTGATGTAAATTTGAAAGCAAATCGCTGCAAAAAAAAACACTGGAACAGGTTGTCAGCATCAGGAGGGTTCCACGGCCGGAACATAAGTCTACTGGCGTCAGGAGCGACTGGAGGATTTCTGACGATGAAGGTTGCACGGTGTATGTATGTTGTTAAAAAGTGGTCCGTCCTCTGCTCCCCGGATCCGTGCTGCCCTCGCCCTCGCGGCGGTTGTGCCCTGCGGTCTCCGCTGTTTGACGCTCGGCCACGCGATGACGTGTCGGCGCGCGGTACACGGCCGTTTTGTTTCAGTTGGAGCGCGAGCCGCTGCGGGAATAACGGCTGCGGCGGCGCCAGCGAAAGAGCTGCGGCTCGGAATCCGGGGCCGGTTCTCACCTCGATCCCTTCCTTCCCCCTCACCCCATGGCCAGCATGTCCGCAGGCAGCAGCTGCTGTGCCTTAGATTCATGGGCACCTGTGCCGCTGCGCCTCCGGGCTTCTCTTCCTCCAGCTCTCGGCGTGACAGTGGCCGTGTGAGAGTAAGAGAACCCCCCCCCCCCCCGCAACTTGCAGCATTTATTTGGAAGGAGGAGGGGGGAACTTTTTTTTCAGACATCTTCATCATTCGGCTGGTGCCGACTGTAAACCATGATGAAGACGGAGGCTTCAGGAGAGAGATCGACCCTCCGCAGTGCCTCGCCGCACCGCAACGCTTACCGGACCGAGTTCCAGGCTCTCAAAAGCACCTTCAGTAAAGGCGCCGGCAACGCGGGGGTGGCGGCGGCCGCCCCTGGAGGCGATGGAAAGGCGAGGGAAGGCACCGAGAATCCGCTGCAAGCCCGGGGAAGGAAATACGGCTCCAATGTTAACCGGATCAAGAACATGTTGTTTATGCAGATGGGCATGGGGCCTGGCGAGGACAACGGGTCTTCTGCCCGCAGCAAAGGAGCCCGAGGGACTTCGTCGTCCCCGCACCGGAGAGTGCGAGCCCGGGATGTGGCGGACGTCGCAGCCGGCCCCCGGGTCAAGCTGGCCGATCGGACGAGTCGCATCGAAGCCAGTCGTGATGGGCCATCGACCTACTCCAAATTTTCTGAGACACGCAAACTGTTCGAGCAGAGCAGCCGCGAGTCGCTGGCCCTTTCTCACCAGTGCTCCCCCAAACGGGAGCGCAAGGGCTCCCAGGACCAGTTGCTGGACGAGCTGCAGGCGATCGATGGGCCCCGCTCCCATAGGGGTAGCACCGAGTCTCTGGACAGCACCAGCCCCAGGACAGAATCCCTGTCTCCCACTGTCAGCCAGCTCAGTGCCGTCTTCGAAAGCACCGAGCAGCAAAACCCGGCGGCGGGCGAAAGCGGGCTGCACGGCTCCTCGAAAACCATTGAACGACTGAACGAGGAGCAACCCCCAGACTCGAAAACATCCGTTATTCAAGGTGAATACAAGAATTATTTTGTAAACGAGGATACTGGAGGTTCACCGAAGACACATGAAAAACAGCCAAACTTTGCCAGCCATGCGACATTTCCATCGGAGACCGTCAAAACAGATCCTTCTTGTAACCAGAACAGTGCAATGGACGAAAGGCAAACTAAATCCGGAGCGCACGTTGGTGTGGACCATCGTGATAATCAGCAAGAACAAGGATCCATTGCAGAAGGTAGTTATAACTTAGAGAAACACACAAACCTTCCTATGGACGTAAATCAAAGCAGTGTTGCTTCAGATTTTCAGAAAAGCGCTGCGATTGCAACTGGAACAGCTTCAGGTCAGCGAGGTTCAACAACAAGCGAAAATTCCTCAGAGGAAAGTACAACTGAACATTCTGGGATTCCAGTCACAAATCGATCAGTTGACAAAACCGACGGTTTGGAATATCCCAGAACCGAATCTAAAATTCAAAATGTGGAGGCTAAGGGCTGCAGTGTGGAGTCAGGAGATGACGCTGGTTGGGAGCACACTTATGAGGACTCAGAGGAGCAAGTGGATAGCGATGGAGATAATTATGACCCAAATGTGGAATGCACAGAAGTAAAAGGATTATCCGATGAAGATAATATTCCAACGAAAAGGAAAGTTAAGTTCAGCACGGCTCCCATAAAAGTAAGTGTTTTGCAATGGCTGAAACATGTTAGGGCACCTTAACTAGTAAAGACAACGTACTGAAACTTCCGAAATAACTGACGTGTTTTAAAATACGTTTCATTTATAACTACATTTTTTAAAAAAAAATCTGATGTGCAGTTATTTTGACTAAAAAAGTCTAAATTAAGTTAGATTTGTCACAGCAGATGTAAGTACTCCAAAAGATTATTTCTGATGTAGTAATATTGAAGTGAGCACTGTCTCAATTAATTCTATTTCACAAGTAACAATCGAGAGATGGTAAGGTCTAGCCAGAAATTATATTACATTTATGCTGTAGAATGTTTAAATGACAAAGGACAGTTTTACAATATGGATAGGATACAGGAATCCTGACTTTCAATGCTACAGGAAAATGCAGCCCTTCCTCTCAAGTTATGATTTACTTGTTACATGGGTATTTATAACTTTGTTTTTGGCTTTGTAAGACATTCCCTGAAGTATATTGAATGAAACCACTTGATGTATGGCTAAAATTTTCTTGCAAATCAGGCTGAGTGTCTATTTACTCCCACAGTCTTTCAAGGGAAACAAAAATGGGCAGTTAAATGCAGGAAATGGAACAATCAGGGTTTGCCACTTGAGCTGTTCAGTCCATACATTCCCGCGTGTGTAACATAGCAACTGTACTTGCTACCACAATAACAAACTGAAACATAAGTGTTGACATCAAATTTAAATGCTCTGTAATTAGTGTTAGTTCATAAAATGAGAACTCTGGTAGAGCAAATGGAAATGAACCAAAAAAGAAATCCGAAACAAGCAGGTGAGTAAGTATGCCTGAACTGACCGCAATCTTCAAACTCAGGTAATAGCAACATAAATTAACAAGCACGTGTCTAAAATCTGGCCTCGCTCTAATAGTTTACCTGCGTTAAGTCCTTAACCGTCTACTGTTTTAAAAAAATTGTTTTGAAAGCTAGTCTTAATGTTTCACATTATATACAAGAACAACGTGTTATATGGCCCCTGTAACACAGATAAATTAAAGACCAAAATAGAAATCAAAATAAATTGCATTTGTATTACAGTTTTCATGAAATGCTTAAAAATGCTTTATAGTCAATTAGATGCTATTTGTAATGCTGTCACTGTTCCTGTGTGGAAAAATGGCAGTTAATTCTCACACAGCAATATACCAAAAACAGCAATATGATAATGACTATAAAACATTTTTTTTGATTCTGGCTGAGGGATAAATTTTTACCTGGATGCAGGGATAACTTTCTACTCTTCTAAGTAGTGCATAAAATCTTTTTCATAAGCCTGAAAGGGCAGTGGGGACTAGGGAACTCAGTTTAACATTTCATCTGAAAGACGGCACATCCAACAATACAACCATTCTTTAATAATACGTGTAACAGTCAGCCTTGATTTTCTTGTTCAAATCCTGTAGAGGGATTTCAGTCTGCAACTATATGATTCAGAAGTGAAAGTGCTTTTCGCTGAACCATAGGCAACAAGCTGAACACAATACACGACACCTTTGGCACCTTTATTATGATCCAGGGATGTCCTAAATGACCTTACAGTGAAGTACCTCAAAACTGTTGTCACTGTTGTAATGTTGAAATGCAGCAGTTTGCAAACAGCAAGCATGCACAAAGAACATTGTGATTATGGCTGCTGAGCCAAAGATGATAAAATATGCGGCCAAATGCTCAGTCAGATTGTGGGTTTGAAGGAGGGCCTTGAAAGTAGGTAGAGAGAGAAGGAGAAATTTGAAGTGTAGGGAGCAAATTTTAAACTTTGACCCTCGACAATTGAAGGCGCAGCTCAAATGGTTGAATGAATGAAGGATCGTGCAAAAGGTCCAAGTTAAAGAATGATGAGTTATGGGATGGCTGCTAGACTGGAGAATGTTGCAGAGATAATGAAGGGAAAACTGTGACAAGAGCTTAATATGAAACCAATAACTTTATATTTGGAGACACTTGTGAATTGAGTCGACATATATTTTGTGTAGAGGTTAGGAATAGCAAAGTCAGGAAATCACTTGGAGAATTTAATAGGGCCCCTAACAATAACGACAGTGGGATGAGGTATACAGGAAGAAATAATAGATACTTAGGGAAGTCTGATTTAAACTCCTTGTAGTTTGATGTATGAAATTGGCAAAGGTAGCCTGGAAGTTTAGTTTATAGTATCTTTGGGACACTTTCTTAAGAGTAGTAAGTTCTAGAGTCAACTGGAGATCAGACTATCCTAAACCTGGCTAGGAGACAGGATTAATTAATAACTTAAGTAAAAGCACCCTGACGTAACAGGGACCGAAACATGATTTTAATTTTGCATGTAGTTTCAGGGACCGCACAGTGGGTCTCAGACCAGAGTTTAATTAAATTTAAATAAGGTTAATAATGAAATCATGAAGACAGCTGGCTAAAATGAACTGGGAAATTTGGTTAATGGAGAGGTTGATAAAGATGTAATTTTGGACTTTGAGGAAATGTGTCATAACACTCAACAGATGTGCATTAGAATGAGGATGAAAAATTGAGGGAAGAACATACCGTCAGTTGCTAACTAAGGAAGTTAAAGGTATTTTCAAATCTAAACAAGACATACAATTCTGTAACAATTAGTATCAAGTCAGAGGATTGGACAGTTTATTAAAAAAAACAGCAAATGAAGCCTGAAGAAAGGGAGAAATTAGAGCATGAGATAAAGTACTTAAAAAGGAAAATAATAAGTAAAGTGAGTACTGGTCCTCCAGTGTCCAAGCCTGGTTGGGGAATTATTAATGGAGGGATGTAGTTGCATTGGAGGCGATTCACCAGATTGATTCCAGAGATGAGGGTTTGTCGTATGAAGAGAGAGTGAGCAGTTTAGGCCTATACTCCCTGGAGTTTAGAAGAATGAGAAGAAAGCTCATTGAAGTGTATAAGATTAACAAAGTAGATGTAGAAAAGAAACTTCCTTAGGTGGGGCAATCTAGAATGAGAGGTCAAGTTTTAGGATAAAGGGTAGTAGATAAAGACAAAGGATAGAGGGAGGTAATGGCCTAGTGGTATTATTGCTGGCCTGTTAATTCAGAGACCCAGATAATATTCTGGGACCCTAGTTCAAATTCCACCACGGTAAATGGTAGAATTTGAATTCAATAAAAAAAAAACTGGGATTAAGAGTCTGATGATGACTATGAGTCCATTGTCAGGAAAAACCTGTCTGGTTCACTAATGCCCTCTGGGAAGGAAATCTGTAATGCTTACATCATCTGGACTATAGCTTTATAGAACTTTAGTTAGACCACACTTGGAATATTGCATACAGTTCTGGTCACCACAGTGCCAGAAGGATGTTGATGCTTTGGAGAGGGTGCCAAAAAAGTTTACCAGGATGCTGCCTGGTATGGGGGACCTTAGCTATGAAGAAAGGTTGGATAGACTGGGTTTGTTTCGACTGGAATGCAGGAGATTGCAGGGTGACCTGATAGAAGTTTATAAGATTGTGAATTGCATGGATAAAGTGGAAAGTATGAGGCTTTTTGGCAGGGTGGAGGGGTCAATTACTAGGGGACACTGGTTCAAGGTGCGGAGGTAGGGGTTTTTAGTTTAGAAGAGATGTGCGACGCAGTTTTTTCACACAAAGGGTAGTGAGTACCTGGAACTCGCTGCCAGAGGAGGTGGTGGAAGCAGGCACAATACCAACATTCAAGAAGCACTTGGACGAATACATAAATAGGAAGGGAATGGAGGGATACAGATCCTGTAAGTGAAGATGGTTTTAGTATGGGAGGGCAAAATGTGTCAATGCAGGCCTGGAGGGCTGAAGAGCCTGTTCCTGCGCTGTATTGTTCTTTGTTCCACATGTGATTCTAGACCCACAGCCAATGTGGTTGACGCTTAACTGCCCTCTGGGCAACTAGGTATGGGCAATAAATGCTAGCCTGGCCAGTGACCCCCTCATCCCGTGAATCAATAAAAAAAGATTAGAAATTACTTTTCTCAAAGGTTGTGAATATGAAATTTACTACCATAGAGTGTGGTGAATGTCAAGACATTGAGTAAATTTACAGAGGAGATCGACAGATTTTTAATTAATAATGGATTGAACGGTTCTGGACAGTGGGCCACAAAGTGGAGTTGAAGTGAGACGAGATCAGCCATGATTGTATTAAATGGCGGATCAGACCTGAGGGGTTGAATGACCTATTCCTCCTCCTAGGTCTTATGCTTTTAAATTAAGGAAAGGGTGAAGAATTGAGTACATATTTTGCATTGAGAAACACTATTAATATCCTAAAAATAATTAAAAATTATTAAGTGACAGATAAAGAAGAACTTAATCACTAGGGAAAGGGTATTGAGAATTCTGAGAACTAAAGGCAGACATTAGCAACATAGGACCAGGGAACAGGAGTAGGCCATTTGGCCCTTTAAACCTGCTCCACTGTTCAATAAGATCCTGGCTGACTTGGTTGTGGTCGTAGATCCTCTTTCTTATCTGGAACCCATAATCTTTGACTCCCTTGCCTACCAAGAAATCTCTCTAAGTATGCTGCAATAAATGTAAAGACCCAGTGTGCGCTAGTGAGAACAGAATTCCAGAGCCTAACAGCCCTATGAGAGAAAACATTTCGCTTCACTTTTGTCTCAAAAGGGAGATCTCTTATTCTTAAACCATGTCTCTAGTTTTAACCTCCAGATATCTAGTTCCCTAAAGATCTTATCTATTTCAATAAGATCACCCTTATTCTTCAGAACTGCACTGGGCAAATGTCTAACCTGTTCAACGTTCCTTCATGAGACGTGTGATCCTTCTCAGAACTGCTTCTAAAACAGTTATATATTTTATTAAAATATGAGGACCAAAACTGTCTACAGGACTGTAGATAGGCTCTCACCAAGTCCTGTAAAACTGCAGCAAAATGCCCTACTTTTGTATTCCATTCCCTTGCAATAAATGACAATATTTAATTTGCCTTCCCTCTTGATATACCTGCCGACTAAGTTTTT